TAGATGTGGTGATTACATGATGTGGTATTTAGGTTCATTAGTTTCATTCTCAGTATTTCTTTTGTCATAGTTGCAATTTTGAAGATGTAATCCCTAGTGTTAGTTTTATCACATTAAATACAACATCATTTGATTACCATACCTTGTTAAATACCACATCATGTAATCACCACATCTAGTTAAATACCATATAATTTAAACACTATATCCTATTATCTAGCCAGATATTTCAGAATAATATAAAACCACTGGGCCTTGCTTGGCTCACACCACCAAGAACATAATTATCTCTCTCTTTTGGTGATTGACTATAAGATGAAACAATAGAAAAATTCTTTAAAATACATGATCACATAAGTAAGTTCCTGCAGCATAATAAAAAAGAGCATATTTTTATCGACTCCCTGGTTACTGAACTGATTTGCTGACAGATATCACCAAGGATTTAAACAATGTGAATAGACTACAACATTCCCATTTGTATTCAAAGATGTACCCCTGTCCTTGAAAAGCACATGAAAAAGAAAAGAGGTAAACAAAGATGAAACAAGCTGATAATTTTTAATAACCGATATTTCCATATTGATAAGAAAACTTACTAAGTAAGTAGATCTACTGAAAATTTACCTATTTCATCAAAGATTTGTTAAAACAGCTTTGTTTCAAATAAATAAAAGCTAAATTAAATGCTAAGTTTTAATGATAACAGTGAAACAATTCTTGTGCTATAAGCTTAGTCGTAACTGCATGCAGAAATAACACTTAAATGTACAATGTCTAGCAATTTATTACTCTCTACTGATAGAATTTTAAAATAGTATCACCTGACTTCAAATGTCAAACTTACCATACTATTTAACTGTAACAATATTTTAATAATATTTTAGGTAATAGTATATTAAATGCATTTTGAATGACATTTTAGACAAACCTTCCGTGAGATATTCTTGGTTAATACAACACAATATAATTTAACTTAGAACATAGCCTATTCTTACTGTTTTCACTTCCCATTACAAAATGATAAATTTTAAACCTGAAAAAATGCATTCATACTATACTAATTTTGACAGAATTTTAATTAATCTAAAAAAGGACCTACTCTAGTACACTGATTTTGTTTAAAAAAACTTTAACCAGTCTGTGCAACAAAGCTGCTTCAGTAAGAAAATCTTGGCTACAACTCTAACCAGCTTACGTAATAGAGCTGCTTCAGGAAGATAATCTTGGTTACAACTCTAACCAGCTTACCTAACAGAGCTGCTTCAGTAAGATAATCTTGGTTAAAACTCTAACCAGCTTACCTAACAGAGCTGCTTCAGGAAGATAATCTTGGTTACAACTTTAACCAGCTAACCTAACAGAGCTGCTTCAGGAAGATAATCTTGGTTAAAACTCTAACCAGCTTACCTAACAGAGCTGCTTCAGTAAGATAATCTTGGTTACAACTTTAACCAGCTTACCTAACAGAGCTGCTTCAGTAAGATAATCTTGGTTAAAACTGTAACCAGCTTGCATAACAGAGCTGCTTCAGTAAGATAATCTTGGTTACAACTTTAACCAGTCTGTGTAACAGATTTATTTAAATAAGTTGATTGTGATTATAACTTTAACCAATATATGTAACAGAACTGCTTCAGTAAGATAATCTTGATTACAACTTTAATTACCCTGTCTAACACACCTTTTTGATAAGGATCTCCTCATATATACTAATTTGGATTAAAGACATTTTTTACATGCACTAACTACGACTCAAAACAAGAACAGTTTTTATGAAGCACGAAGAAGGATCTATGTTCTCCATTACAATTTGTATAAATTTCAGATCAAAACTAAAATATATATACCTAGTAATGAGCATAGCTAACTGGATAAATTGTTCAAACTATACTGCTCTATAATTATTAAAATGAACTGTATTACTTGGGTACTTGTGCTATTAACGATATTTCTGGCCCTAAACCCAATATCTCATGATGGTTTGGTCAGCACAAAATGCTTAGGGTAGTCTTAATACATTAGTACTATAATTTAAGCCTTAAAATTATTTGTATTTTTAAATTTAAGGGTGGAGGTTGGGAGAAATCTATTGTGGAATTTTTAGGGTGGTTTTATTGTTATTCTTCTACTTTAGGAACTATTAGAAATTTTAAGGGTGGAGGTTGGGAGGAACTTTTAGTGGAAATATTTTTAGGATGGTCGTTTTTTTCTTCTACTCTTAATATTATAAGAACTTTTAAGGGTAACTGCCTTCCCACAACTTGCTGCAGACAGTGAAAGGCAATAGGAGTTGAAACGTTGTGGGTATAAGCACTCATAAACTAAGCTAAGAATATGGTATAATTTAATACTGTTGCTAGAAAATTAATATTCACTCTCCCCAAAACCTGCTAAGATGTAGAAAACAATCCAGTATCAGAAATATGTCTTCATTCCCAGAGTATGTTTGAATTTCATGTTACTATTGGTCATTCCATTATAAAATAACTGAGGGAGATTACACTCTCCAGCCATCACCTGCTCTGCTAGTTGTAAAAAACTTATTGTAACACTAACATGGAACAATATCCAATTAGATCAAAGAGATTAGTCAACTTCTTTCAACAACCCACCATAGTTCAAACTATACAAATGTCTGGAACAGTACATATGCTAAAACTGTGAATCATTCCTTTAAACTTTAAGAGTTAACTGTACTAGATAGGAATAGACAGGACATATTATGTATATGACCGCATGCTATATTCATTAAGATGCAGGAAATTTGCATTAATAATGATGTAGTAAGATTTAGAAAAGGAAGCAACAATATGCTGTATACATCAAAGTAATTAGGGTAATCAATTCTTCCCATAAATCACACAACTTTACTCAGCATGACAGAGCAACAACTCCTGTACACTAGTTATGATTATAAAACATCTACTTATTAAGCATGAGAACCAACTCTATCTACACTAATTCTGACAATAAAACAGAAAAGTATTTAAAAGGATAAAAGACCAGCTTCTGCTACACTAATTCTGACTATAAGTAACATAACTTTTTCAGCACAACAAAACAACAACTCTTGTATGCTAATTCTGATTAGAAAACATATAACTTTATTAAACATGAGAACAAACTCCACCTGAACTGCTTCTTATTATAAAAACAACTTTATATAGCATGAAAGAGGACCAACTATTTGTACACTGATTCACATTATAAAACAGAGAACTTTCTGAGCATAACAAAGGCTCAACTTTTAGAACACTAATTCTGACTATAAATCACATGAATTTATGCAGCATGAAAGAGAACCAGCTTCTGTAAAATAATTCTAATTATAGAAACAAATAACTTTACAGAGCATGAGAACAAACTCCTGTACACCGTGCTCAGTAAAGTTGCCTGTTTCCTTTGTCATAATTAATCTACAAGAGTTTGTTCTCATGCTCAGTAAAGTTGCCTGTTTCCTTTGTCATAATTACTCTACAGGAGTTTGTTCTCATGCTCAGTAAAGTTGCCTGTTTCCTTTGTCAGAATTAATCTACAGGAGTTTGTTCTCGTGCTCAGTAAAGTTGCCTGTTTTCTTTGTCAGAATTAGTGTATAGGAGTTTGCTGTCATGTTTAATTAAGTTACCTGTTTCTATAGGCATAATTAATTTGTTCTCATGCTCAATAAAATTACCTGTTTCTATAGTCAGAACGAGAACAAACTCCTGTAGATTAATTCTAACAAAGGAAACAGGCAACTTTACTGAGCACAAGAACAAACTCCTGTAGATTAATTATGACAAAGGAAACAGGCAACTTTACTGAGCACAAGAACAAACTCCTGTAGATTAATTATGACAAAGGAAACAGGCAACTTTACTGAGCACGAGAACAAACTCCTGTAGATTAATTCTGACAAAGAAAAGAGGCAACTTAACCGAGCATGAGAACAAACTCCTGTAGATTAATTCTGACAAAGGAAACAGGCAACTTTACTGAGCATGAGAACAAACTCCTGTAGATTAATTCTGATAAAGGAAACAGGCAACTTTACTGAGCACGAGAACAAACTTCTGTACACCATTCTGACTATAGAAACAGGTAATTTTATTGAGCATGAGAACAAATTAATTATGCCTATAGAAACAGGTAACTTAATTAAACATGACAGCAAACTCCTATACACTAATTCTGACAAAGGAAACAGGCAACTTTACTGAGCACGAGAACAAACTTCTGTACACCATTCTGACTATAGAAACAGGTAATTTTATTGAGCATGAGAACAAATTAATTATGCCTATAGAAACAGGTAACTTAATTAAACATGACAGCAAACTCCTATACACTAATTCTGACAAAGAAAACAGGCAACTTTACTGAGCACGAGAACAAACTCCTGTAGATTAATTCTGACAAAGGAAACAGGCAACTTTACTGAGCACAGGAGTTTGTTCTCTAGATTAATTCTGACAAAGGAAACAGGCAACTTTACTGAGCATGAGAACAAACTCTTGTAGATTAATTATGACAAAGGAAACAGGCAACTTTACTGAGCATGAGAACAAGAGTTTGTTCTCATGCTCAGTAAAGTTGCCTGTTTCCTTTGTCATAATTAATCTACAGAGTTTGTAGATTAATTCTGACAAAGGAAACAGGCAACTTTACTGAGCATGAGAACAAACTCCTGTAGATTAATTCTGACAAAGGAAACAGGCAACTTTACTGAGCACGAGAACAAACTCCTGTAGATTAATTCTGACAAAGGAAACAAGCAACTTTACTGAGCATGAGAACAAACTCCTGTAGATTAGTTATGTCAAAGGAAACAGGCAACTTTACTGAGCATGAGAACAAACTCCTGTAGATTAATTATGACAAAGGAAACAGGCAACTTTACTGAGCATGAGAACAAACTCCTGTAGATTAATTATGACTATAAAACAGATAACTTCATACAGTATCAAATCAAGCAATTCCCGTTACACCAATCCTGATTATACAACAGAGGACTATTCAGCATAAGATTTTTGTATGCTCTTTCTAAACCTAACAAGATATATATATATACCCTTTCTAAACTTGTATTGAACAAAAAAAGACAAAGTAACTTGTCTGTACTTATACATTGATCTTGAACATAACAAGGCTATTTTATTAACTCTGAAAAACATTCCTGCTTGTGATACAGGTATACTAGGCTTTGCTAAAAAACAAAACACAGAACTATTTACTCTGAAAAAAGGGTTTAATTGTAATAAATGTACATCATTTTTACTTAAAAGAGGATAACTTTAATCATCATAAAGAAATGGGGCCTGCTTCTGCAAAGTAAATTATTACTTTAACACTTTAAGGTGGGCAATTTGACCCGTCTTGTAAGTGTGAAACTATACAAACTATAACTCTGAATTTACTTAAGTGTATCTTTTTGAAATTTGGTAAACCTTCAGTAAATGTTTCATCTGTTGTATATCAAAAATCAGGTTTTTTAGTAAAGAATTGTCTGTGAATTCAGTATAAATGAAAAGTAATTTTCTTGCTAAGAATAAAAATATTTCTTTACATATTTAATTTGCATAATTTCTAGACTTCCTAAATGAACATCAAAAGTTATTTTTAGTAAAGCTATATTTTATGCTACTTTCTATAATCCAAGCTGTAATGAAATCATCAACTTACAGTGAAATGAAAAGTCAAAAACATAAAACAGAATTAATAATAACCCTTTCTTTAAACCATCATTTGTCACCAGATTTTCAATTTAACTATCTTTACAATTTCAACTGTTAACCTTTAACATCTGTTTCTTTATAATTATATAGTTTTATTGCCAGACGTTGCTCTGTGGAAGCTGTTTATTACTCCATGAAAGGCATTAAATCATAGTGAGAGCCCATATCTACTTCCCCACTCCCAGTCAAAGTAAACAAACCAATCAAGTTACATGAAGTGAGATTGAGTTCCTAAATTCATAAAATTTTTAATTTTTATTACCCAAGTTTTAAATTTTACATTTGACTTACTTTTGTTATAAAATATATAATAATAAATAAAAATATACATAAAACAACAAGAAATTTGGAACTTTAAGTATCAAGGCCTATTTGTTCTTAGATGCCATTCTTCAGTAACCCTTCTTGTTTCTCATTATATTGGTTGTCCACAAAAATATATTCACGTAGCTTTCAAATATGCTACTTAGAACATAAAAAACATATCAACACCAGAACAGTGTCCCTGAATTCCTACAACTTGTCTGGCTTTATAACTACCATATTTTCCTTATTATAAGTTAAACCTTTATTTTAGTTGCATAGCTGATTTTTAGGAATTTTTTAGTTTTTGTTCATACATAAGTTGCATCGCTATATATATGTTGCACCACTGCAATTTTAAAAAATTCATCCTACTGCTATATGACATGTATTTTTTTTTTTATACATACACTGCTGTATTTAATGTTTTTGTTGTTTCACATAAATAGAATAAAGAAAGAACCATTACAATTTGTTTATGTGTGCTCCCTTTCCTTCAAAGTTTGATCATCCCCATGTGTGACATAACAAAGATACTGGCTTTATTATGTCAGTTTTATATACTAGTATGTAGTTTTATGGTGCACAGATGCATGAGAAACCCCAAATATGCAAATCACCCTCAAATTTGAAATACAGCTGAAAATAAATGATTTACTGTCATGTAAAACAACCTGATATTACCACATTTTGTTTACATCCATCATTTTTCACAGGTAACTGGAACTTCAACTGATATATGAATAAAAATAAATTTGCATTAAAAGTTTTTTTGTTTTTTTACTTTGCCTGGAAAATTAATTTATTTACCCAACAAGTTTTTTTTTACATAATATTTCCTGTTGAATATTGAATTATTGTAAATGTCTGGTTCCTGGTAACAAATTGAATGACACGCATTGTGTTCCCTCTAAGCTGCATGCCTGCACGACCACACAACAGTTCATCAAGTGCCGTGCACTTATCCATACATGGTTACTGTAATAGTGGATATGATTGTTTTATCTGTTACCTGTTTAAATATTATTGTTATTGTAATAACTATTGAATGTTATTTTGTATTTTATTTCTGTTATGATAAATGGTGATGACTAAAGAAATTCATATGGACAATCACTGCATCATTGAAGTCATATACAAGTCACACATAAAATTCTTTGGGAAAAAAATAGCGACTTATACAAAAGAAAATACTATATATATAGGCTACCAGAAGCAATGACTTTACTCAACACACATCAAGCTTTTATTCCAATCTATCATCATTAACTACCAAATATAAACAAACAGTCTTAACATTCCGATACACTACAATATTCTTTTTCTATCGCTTATAAACATGCCCATAAGTTGCATGAAAAGATTGAGAGGCTTCTTCAGTGGGTTTTACAAATTAATTGACAAAATTTATACTTTATATTCTTTCTTCTCATTATATTCAGTTTGTGTTTCTAGTTGTTTGTAAGCTCCAGCAGCCTATTTTTGATGCTATAAAGTTCTAAAAAAGAAATCAAAGCTATACATGTCACGTGACACAGAAGAGTGAATAGTGAGCATTATTTTAACATTTGCTTTTGAAACTAATAAATCAAAATGGAGATAACATTAACACTTGAATTATAAATGATGTTTTGATGCCAAGTTTATTGACATACATTGATAAAAAAAGTTGAATTACATTTTAAATATAACTCTGTAAAAGGTTGTGACATGCAAACTTTGACCCTGTCTTAATGAAGCAGTTAACCAAAGATATTCATTAATTCTGAAAAGAAAAAAATGTATAAATAAATGGACCTTTTCCTACTAAACAGATTATTACTTCTAAACATACATTCTCTATTCACCTGGACAAAAAGAAGTTGTTCCTGTAATAAATTATTATTGACTTTTTTTAGAACACAACTTGGAGAAAGGAACTAATATCGCAATTCTGAGAAAATGTAAATGACACTTCACATACCACGATTGAAAACTTTAATAATACCCATTTTATAATTACTAGCATAACTTTGCAGCCTACAAAAACAAAAATCATCCACTTTTCTGAAGGTAGAAAAACACACTTTTTGTTTTTATACTTGTATAAAATATCAGTACCTAATGAGATCCTTATTACTAATACTTCTTTCCTATATTGGATCTTTAAACAAACTAATTTACCATAGTGAACCTGTGGTGATGGTTTCAAACGATCACCATGAACTTCTTGACGAGATAGCTGCAAGGAAGATGACAACAGCTGAAGTGCCCGCATATATAACACCAGCTGTTCTGCTCGTCTGTAACCTTCACTTACAGGAGGAGCTTCACCTTCATATTTCTGAAGAAAAAGTCTCCACATCAAATTACATTCTCATAATGTTCCTTTGATTAGTAAGTCAGTATTTAAATAAAATTCATTAAGGAAGAAGCAGAGTAACTCTGTCCTCTAATAATCTTATATTAAAATATTATTTGGTAGGTATTTCTATATCCCAAGGTTCTTAGAAATAGTAGTTAGCTCACTATCTAGATATTATTACACTAGTAAATAACTCCATATCCATACATTCAAACATTGGTGGGAATCTCTATAATTATATATTCATACTTTGGTAGGTACCACGACATCCTCGTAATTAAATTTTGTGAGATACTATTAAGCTTTGTGATTTTATGTTTGTACATAAAGATATCATAAAAAACACACACATCTTTAATTTCTGTAAATATTAATTAATTTATCATGATCACATTTTTAATGTCTAAATGCCTAATTATCAAAGATTATTACAGCAAAATATGTATTATCAAACTTTATGCAACCTATGTGTACCAATTAGGACATGTTTTTACCTGTACTTTCAGTGCAGAGTCATTGAGAGATCCTGCTGGTGTGCCTTTAGACTTTGCAAGTTCTAGAATACAGTTTACCAGTGCCAAAACAAAGTTCAGTTTTGCTAAAGTCTCATTATGTTCTTTCTGAAACAAAATAATATATATATATATATATATATACACACATTATGTAGTTCTATGATGAATATTTTGCTTGAACAGTTTGAATGTAGGTGTTACAGGTTTTGGATTATAGGTGTCATTGATTAGGGTTGGAATTAGTTTTCTCAAATATGATCAATATTAATAACTTTATACAAATCCTCGTCTAGTATGTTTACAAAACCTAAAGATAATCAAATGAAGGTGGATATATTTTTAAACATATCTTTCAAGAGAATGATTTCTTTGCAACAATATTTGATCAATAAATATGATCTCCTCATCATTAACAACAGAAAATGAATCTGATTTTTGTTTCTGAGTGAATATTTTTAGCATACATTTTAATACTATAGCACACTATTTTCTAAAGTGCTTGTTCTGCAGTTAAACATCTATCTCACGGTGGGTTGTAAGTACTAAACATAAAAATCTAGAAAGTGAAATAAACTAGTATAACAAAGTTAAGTCATGTAGGAATGATATAGCTGTATCACCCAATATCCTTCTTTGCATTCTTTTTGGCACTGCCATCCCTACATCATTTTACATTTACAAAATGATTTTTCTCCTGACTGAAAGTTAATGTATTCTATGAATGTGTGTAATAAAATTTAATATTATGTGTATTGTATTTTTTTTTTTAATCCTTCAC